CTTCCACAAGTATTGCCTGAGTCAATACTGTAGCACATGTTGTGCCTGTGAATGGAAACGCAACACATCCAACAGTAAGAATGTCACCTTGGTCAAATATTCATAACAGGCAGAAAAGGCCTCACAATTTAGTTAAATTTCCTGCTTTGCACATGACATGCAAAAAGATACAGTGGAAACAATGAATTCTTTTGTTATCTGCTGAAATCAAAGAAATTTTTTTTTTGAATAAAAATGTGAAACCAAAAGAAAATGAGTGGATGATCTATGTCTCCTAGTAACTTCTGTTCATGCTTCAGGGGGAACAATGATAAGACCTTAATCAAAGATCCAAATTTTTCTGTCCAGTTGGAAGTAATTTAGGTCAAAGGCTTTTTTAAAAAAATAATTTAGATTTAAGGTTTTATTTAATTAAATTCCGTCTGAAGAAGATTTCTGTAATTCCTCTATTTATTTCTATTTCTTTTTGCTTCTGTTACTCTGCTTATAAAATATAGAGAGCTTCTCATAGGGTTCTCATAACCTTCTAACTATATAACCTGATCCATATCATCCGTCTAGTCTGAATCTCCGAACTATCTGTGAATGGATAACCATTTGCATTATAGTTATGGTCCAAAATTAATAAATAACAACAATTTACCATCCCCAGCAGTCTTATTGGTAGCATTAGCAACCTGCTTCACAAGATCTGCTCCAACATTTTTAGCTTTCTCCTTAAATTTGATGCTCTTGGCAACAGTAACACCATCCTTTGTTATCTTGAGACCCCCTCGAGTTTTCTCAATAATCACATTCCGTCCCTGGAGCAATAAATGAGAAAAAGAATACAAAGAAAAATTTGAAAAGGGTCAAGAAATTTCTTTTTTCGGTTAATTCCTAACTCCCAACATTGCATTAAGTTTACAGACTAACACTACCTTTAACTTCAAACGATATGATTTGATAACTTGGTAGATATAACTCGATAAGAATGTATAAAACAAAAGAAATTTATTTCATGTAGTATTGCTGATGGCATTCTTTTCTCGTTTTTCAACCAAATACCAACCAACATAAGTATAGAAGATACCTTTGGTCCCATGGTAACTTTCACAGCTTCTGCTACCTCAGACACTCCTTGCAGCATCGCAGCACGAGCCCCCACCCCAAAACTGATATCCTTTGCCACATAATTTCTGTTGCTGATGACCCTGCTGCACACCTTTCGCATTCGAATAATCAGCCAACAAAAAATGTCATAAATAATTTATACGCATGAAGACCAACCCTTTCAAATTTATCAGAGAAGAAAATGAAACAAATTGGAGATTTTCTACAACATTTTCACGCCAATAAACCATTTTGAATTTCCTAACAACAATATTCGTTCTTTTAAGAAAAATGATAACTCTGTACGATAAAACATATGCTCCTTCTTGTGGCGAGGAAAAGTTGGAAATCTGAATTTTTGCATCACTCTCACAAGAACTAAAAAACATTCACTGGACTGAACATGTATTTATTCTAAAAAAGAGCAATGATGCTCGAATAAGAAATACAAACTAAAAGGAACCAAGTTCGAAAGTAAAAAATTGAACCAAAAATATTAGATACCAATTTCCACGAAGAAGAAGACCTGCAAACCAATCATAGCCCAATATAGAAAATATAAGTATTCCTGCATAAAACTTGAAGCCAATGTTAAAAGGAAAAAAGTGGGTACCTGACGGAAGAAGCTAACTTCGAAGCTATGCGATACATGACAAGGATACCTGACTAAAAGGCCCAGAACAAAGCTTTTAGAGGAAGATGGTGACAAGCAGGACTTCAGTAGGGTTTTACAGGGCAAAGCATTATTGGTCTACCGAATTATCCTTTAATGCGTTGGAACCTCGTATTCGAGCCCTATGGGGTGACATAATTTTTTGCACTTTCGTTTCCACAGCTTGTTCTTGTTGACATAGGTTTTTGGAAATCTTGGCTCATTTTTCTCTTGTTTATTCTTTTTGGCCATGTTACTTTCTTTTTTATTCTTAGTGCATTGGAAGTTCTTATCTAATAACTAGTTGGATCTTTAACAAATTGGTATTTACACTTTGTTTGAATAAATTTTAATGATGATTAATTAATATATAATAATAACAATAATTAGATGAAAATAACACAGGATGAAAATAACAAAAAATTTTTATATTTAAATAATTGTAGCATATTTTTATTTAAATAATAAAATTATATAATTATATTTTCATTTAAATTATTAATTTACCCATACTTATTATATCTAATAATAAATAGAATATAAAAAATATATAATGACAAAAATAAATTGTTTACTAATATAATTAAATTTTTATTTAAATAAATAATTATTTCACATAATTAAATTAAATTTTTATATTTAATAAAATAAATAATAATTTGTGAAGATAAAAATAAAATTAAATTTATTATATAAGAGTATAAAAAAAAAAAACTCCGATTGGTCATATATCACCGCTTCGATAGTTTTAAAATTCATTTTAAATTTATCGGTCAGATACTGTTTGCTACAATTAGAAGTTGAAAAAATATAATTTTTTAACGTCTAATCAAAATATGATTATAGTTTAATGATAGGGTAGATGTAATTTATGTATCTTCAAATTTTTTTTTATCCATTACTAAAGTGTTGTAGGAAGTAGTCCATCCCCCATGGATAAACAGCTGCTGTTCATGAGTTTAAAAGAGGAACAAAAGAGTTGTTATTGTGTTAAAAAGTTATTGTTGTTTGTAATAAGTGTTTATTTTTGTTTTTATTTTTGCAAATTATTTAATGCTAGTGATTAGTTTACGAAAAAATTATAAAATCACATATTTGTACTAGAAGATATTTTATTATACGATAATTGATGAAATACTATCATTGCATCTTGAAACTTACCGGAAGAAATAATGTGTTACTTTCTTGTTTTTTATGAAGATAATATTGTTTTGTATTTTTATAAAAATAATATTAAGCAGATTTATCCTTTTTTTTTTCTTTTGAATCTTCACTTTATTGCTGTGATAAGTCTGAACTTGTCTAACTTTTCAATATCTACAAACAAGTTAAAGTTGAACATTTCATATTTTGTCATTGGAAATTTTGAGCCTCAAAAAATTTCGGACACAAATTCTAATATTTGTTTCTTTATATGATGAAAAAGTAAATTTGCATAAATTAGAAATAAAATCAAATCTTATCCAATTTCATGTCAATATAAACAGAAATATTTTACTACATAAAATATTATAATGAGTTATCAAAAATATTAGAACATATTCAATCATTTAATAATTTGAACAACCTACCTAATTCTAACAGGGCACAACAAATTTATTCTTCTAAGATCCCTCCAAATATAATGATAGTAATTAATTTTTCTTTTGTTTGGTATTTGAGAATTATATGTTGCTTACAGCTTTGGGATTATCCTGTTTGAGATAATACCTTCAGACATATTTACTTATTCTCCATATGGTCAAAAAGATGTTGCTGCAATTTTTTTCTTTGTTCTTTTTTCCTTAAATTAGTTTGTGCTAAATTTTAGACTAATTTCATACATTGTAAAATTCTGTTTCTTAGAGGTAATTAGTGTTCAATCAAAGGGCTGATTTCTCATTTAGCTTGCAGGCCCTCCAAAAGAAGGCAAACAAGAAAAGAATGATAGACAAAAAAAATTGAATTTTTTATCTTGGTTTCATTAAGAATATTAAAACAAGAACAAAATCAGTGCCATGAAACATGAATCAATCTCATATGCGATCTGTCTCACCTCTCAGCAACACAAAGCAAATGCCTTTCAACGTTTAAAAATAGAAGAAAAACATAACAGAACTTGGCAGAAATTTTTGCTAAAGATAAAATCTATCACATACAAAAACTTTAATAGTCTCGCCTTTTGGCAGGAATCTATGACCATGGAACTCACCGATGAAATCGTATTTGCTAGAAATACACCCCTACTTATTGAATCTTCAACAACCAACATTCTTTTGTAACTCTATCTCCTTATAAATGTCATCCAACTTAGCCACCCAACCCAAAAGGGTAATCAAGTACGACAAGCTCGGCTTTGACTTTTCTATTCAGCCCATGAAATCGATTTAACATTATTATTTAGTTGATGTTGGACAATGCATTTGGTCACTTTACAGATGGGCAACAACACAAGCAAATGAGAAACAACCTGCAATATTGAAGTAAAACATCATATGTATGAAACTTAGTTTAAACAGTGGCTTTGAAATCAGCAGCAAACCAAGGGGGTCAAAAAAGCATTTCTACAAAGTGACTTTAACAACAAAGTTGAAAAGGACTATGCTCAGCTTTGTAGAAACCAGCCATCTAGAATTATTCAAAAGCTTAATGATCCTCAAAAAAGTAACTTCATTACCCCTATTACTTTAAAATTTTGACAACTTACTAAATTGCCTATAAAAGGAATAACATTTGCAGTTGCTGTCCACAAGGAGTCTTAAAACTTTTGAAGCAATTTCTGAACGCTAAACTGAATATGGAAATCAACCTTACTATTCCTTACCTGTACTTCCTATGCATTTTGCTGGACTTGTCTGTGTATTTGCATAATCCAATCAACATAACCACTGACACCACCAAACTGATCCTCAACAAGGTTTGTGAGAAGAAGCAACCCTTCTCGAGGTTGCTCACCTTGCCGTACAAGGTACGTCAGCTGATAATACGAAGGGTCACTCTCCCTAATTTTCTTCAGGATCCCCATCAACTTTCTTGACATTTCGTTTTCATGCTCTCTAAGGATAACCTTATAAAACAAAAAAATCGCAACCATACAGCATATAGGTTAAATGAGAAATCTATATCGTATTTTTCTCTTTCTGGTCGGATAAGTAAGAATTTGTTACTAATACCAGAGAAAAGTCAAAACTTCAAAAATAACATTACAGAAAAAGGAACTATTTCTGACACGGATGTTCCTGCACAAAGACTCTCCATGCAAGAAAAGACAGCATGTTTAAGACAACTACAAGTCAATCACATTACATATTCAGGGCAAAACCACGTCTATATTTGATTACCACCCTATAATTCAGTAATGCTTAGGCTGTATCGTCATAGGTTGACACATCTGCTACCGTCAACCTATTACACAATAATACTGGCACAAACTCAAAACATTGAAATCAGTTGGGCTTTAAATATTTCACTGTAAATATATATCACCAGGTCCTCACTTTCACAGATAATCAAAACCCATAAAAAAACCAAATTTAGGTTATTTTCCTGCTAAACAATGAAATAGGAAACTTCGGCACCCACATCCAGGTCAAAAGTTAATAAAAGAAGAGAACATCAATTCTCAAATGTTGAAGGCCAGTATCGCCATCTTAAAAACATTAATAAAACCAATTCTAAATAGGAACTGAGCACCACTAAGTAATGAGTAAAGAACACTGATAATGATCAACATACCCGTGATAGTTCTGCTGCAAAGTCTGCCCCAAGAAGACTCTCAGATATACCCGGTGGCAGTGTTCTACCAAACCATATAATAAAGCGAAAACCATCGTCATATATATAAAGACCTCTGGAATCCAAGCTGTCTGCACTCAGTGGTAACCTTTTTAAGTTCCCTTTGAAGTCATTATCTTTACCAGATGGCTGCATGTATGAGATATGGATGAAATGTTAAGAGTTTTGTAAACTCTGTAAATTATCAAAATGAAGTTTAAACATTACTAAACATGAAAAAACTTCCACCTTTAGGAGATACTCATCAACTCGAATCAAACTAGGATATAAAAGCTTCAACAGTTTTTTAACTGGTAATGCCATCATGGTGTAACCTGCTGCACAGCGTTCATCAAGCTGAGCCTCAGCATATCCTCCTCGAAGAGGTGTTGATTTACAAAGTGCCAATCCATATGCAGCTAAGAACTTTAAAGACTCAGGGAATATCATCCTAGCCCCTAACCGATGCTGTACAGCATAGAGGTTACGGTATTCTCTGAGAGCTTTAACAATTCTTATTTGCAGTGAGTTTCGTGCATCCTCCAGCTTACTTGATAAGGTCTTCTCAATTGCTGCAAATTACCAATATGTTAGACAGACATCCCTGGTTATATATGGCATTACCTGCAGCGGCATACTGTAACCTACCAAGCCTGGCAAATAGAGAAATAATGGCACCAGTATCAGCTTGGCGGTACATCTCCCCAAGATCTGACACTACTGGAGCTGCTGCTGTATGTACTCTGATACGCCTCTCTCCACAGGATGCAGTGTAACTTTAAATTGTTAAAGAAATTTTAGGAAATCAAATTATTCTTAACTCTCAAATATATACGCTACCAGTATTTTCAAGTAATACCCTGCTGACCATCTGGTTTTTTGTTTCAGTAATTTCTGGTAAGTCAGAATGAGAAAGACATGAAGTAGGCATAGTGGCTGCACATGTCAATCAACATCCCATTGCGCATGAAATTCGCGGAAATGAGACGTTAACATAGTTTACCTGTCTAAGACAACACATGGAAGTCTGCCCCAAGCAACTGTCTAAGAATATAATACATAAATAAATGCATAAAAAAAGAAACACACACAGATAGATACGAATCCATAAATACATGCACGCCATACATAAAATGTCCTTCCAGAAAGAAGTGCTTCTTTCAGTAATTAAAGGTAGCTGAAAAATTAACCTCACATTTGTAGCTCCAAATTTCATTGAAAGATTCCCATTTGAAGGATACAGTAGAGCAACTTGGAAGTATACGGTTTGAGTTGTCAGTAAAGTCTCCTCAAGAGATAGCTGCATTGCATATGCTTTATCACAATCCACAGCTGGAAGTGCTAACAAATCTGTAGATCTTAACATAAAGTTCCCATGATAAGATGTAAACCGGATCCCTGAAAGCACCAAAAATCAATGACAAAAGAAAATTAGCATTTCTATAATTCAAACAATGACACAATTTGAATGTACATGAGTATGCTGGTAAATGCAGGATAGTAGACCTTTTCCACATCTTATCCGCATTACAGCTTCCCAGGCAGTTTCCCTAGTAAGGTCTCTCGCTAACTCATGCCTCAACTTCTCTCCATGGACGATTGATTGGAAACCTGGGTAGTGGAACACCTGACCTCCAGTATATTTTGCAAGAGTTCCTACAAGTATATTAAAGTAATATGAAAGACTAAAATATTGCATAGGGTATAGCATCATGAATCCAGCACCCTCGAAAATGTGTAGCACAAGAACAGCAATTTCAAAAAGTAATTTAAACCATGGATCCATGTAGGTGAACCCCTTTCATTCAAAACTCAAGATATATGCTTCATCACAAGACCAATAAACTTCTGTCCATATACCATCTTCATCAAAACTGTTGCAAGACAAATTAACTAAATCAAAGAGATTGTCTATATCTCAAAGTATCATACCATCTGATTTTAAATATCATGAGTATGACAAACAACAAGATAGATTCTTCCTATCCTTCAAATTATTATTTTATTTTTTTTGAGATAAAAATTGTAAAATATATGTTAACAAGGTACCGAAAGGGGGTAATAACCCATGTAAAAAAGATTTACAAAGTAGTTAGCATGTCAATGACATTCCCAAAATCCTTAGCACTAATAATGTCATAACCTAATAAACTTGTCCTAAAATAATGTATCCACCTATCTCTTAATTTATAGTCTTATTTCTTTTCCCTCAAACGCTCTACCATTTCTTTCTTTCCATAGAACCCAAAAAATGGTCAATGGAATCAAATTGACAACATTATTTTTGCCACTTAGCCCACCCAAGCCCAAATTTCTCCTCTAACAACCCCACCCATTACCCAATCAATCCCCAATAACCATAAATCATGCTCCACAGACTATCAGCAATAGGACACCATAGAAGTAAATGATTATAAGATTCATCTGCACTCATACAAAGATAGCATCTATTAACTATAATCTACCTTTAGTTCTTAATTTATCAATAGTGAGGATACTTTCCCTGCAAACTTCCCAAGCAAAAAAACCTACCCTCGGAGGCACTTTTGTTTTCCAAATCTGCTTTATCGGGAATTCATGAATGCCATCCTCTTCCCCTCCTTTCAGGAATCTGTAGTAAGACCCAACTGTAAATTCTCCCCTTTTCTCCAATTCCCAAATAACCTGATCCGAGTCCTTCACATTCTTAGCCTCAAGGATCTGCAGTAGATTTTCATACTCCTTAATTTCCCAGTTATTTAAGTGTCTAGTCACATTAACTGACCATTCAACACGGTCAGAACAAACCCGATAAGCCTCTGCCACCACCAGCAATTTCGATTGTGCAAGTTCAAAGATCCTTGGGAACCTATTCTGTAAACTGTCCTCATCAACCCATCTATCCAGCCAGAATCTGATTTTATCTCCTCTCCCCAGTCTCCACTTAATGCAGTTTAGGAACCTCGGCCACTGTTTCATAATACTCTTCCATAACCTGCAACCATGAGGCCTGGAACTGGCCCCACCACTGACAACATTCTGATCACCCCAATGGACAACCACAATATTCTCCACAATTTGTTTTCATCATGAAAGAATTTCCCTAGCCATTTTCCTTGAAGAGCAACATTCATATTAACTAAAGATCTTATACCCAAGCCCCTTGTGAACCGGTATCTTGACATCCTCCCACTTTACCAGGTGATATTTCCTATTTCTTATTTCCATCTTCAAGTGATATTCCCTATTTCCATCTTCATCCTTCAAATTAATGTTTAGGATCAATAGCAGACAGCTTAATTTTTTTTAATTCTTTTTTCAAATATCACTTTAGAAAATCTGGATCCCAGATTCCATCAGCACTCAAGTTTCTAACTTATTGCAAGATCCAAGCTTAAACAATCTCAAGAAAATCATGAAGGACTATGGATAACTAACCATTTGGACCCAGTATCTACCAGCAAGACATGCTATATGGACTCGTTAATAGCCACTATAATTTGGACTTCTTCCCAATATTATCAAGTCATGCAATTTCAAACATCAATGTTACGTCTCTATAGCTAATAGAAGTATAAAATCTTCTGCCTTAATTCAGAAGAAAAATATTCTTTATGCTGATGTAAATTATAGATATGAAATGATCGCATACCAATGGAGGCAATATCAGTGTACTTATCACTGAATGCATAAAAATTCACCCCAATCTGCAACTTAGTAAAATCGGCAGCCATCTGCTTATAGAAGGGATCTTCTGGCACTCTTAAAGTGTGCTCCTTGTCTGTTCCATAAATGCGAAGATCATCTCCTCTCAGCTTCAAGCGACCAACACCAAGAGATGGCAAAGTATTCTGAAAAATTAGTAATTTCCCTCCAAGTTGACTCTGCAAATAAGGGTTGTTGGGATGGGAGAGGAGAGAAGAGGAGTTAATGCCATGCCAATGAGTTAAAAAGACAGAAATTGATTGAAATAATGATAATGTTTTGACCCAGAAAATGTGAGCATGAAGCTAGATTATCTTGTTTATGACAAAAATTAAACATGGAAAAGGTGGAAAAAGATGACACACCATAACCATGAAAGCTGCTTTAAGAGCTGGACCAAAAGCAGATTCCACATTCATATTATCCTGGAACATGGTGGGCAAGGTCTCTAAGAAGGTTTCCACTACACTTCTTGATTCAGACAAGTTGACGAGGAGATCATCTGGCAATGGAACAAATATGTCATCGAGATCCGAAACCACCATCATTTGAGGCTGTGTCAAAGATGACTGCAGAACCAAGACCAGGTAATTATTTACCATACATGATGCTTGAGACATCTTAAAGCAAAAGCTCCCACATATCCATACAAGTTACCTTCATATTATAGAAATGTATCGTGCTATCATAAGTAATAAACCCAATCTGTGTCCTCGGGAAGCCAGGCAACTCATCCAAACATGACCGGATGGTTTGAGCAACAACCTGTTATAAGATTTCAAACGTCGACCAAGCAGATCACACATCAACAAGGGAACAAATGGAGGGAAAAGAGAGAGAGAGAGAGAGAGAGAGAGAGAAGTAAAGCTTGATCATTACTCATGTCAAGATGCACAATTTGGTTCATTTATTTCAATTTAGCCTATACTATAGTGATGAGAAACTAATAGGTGACTGTCAACCCGACTTTCTGTTTTTTTAAACAAAAGAAACATCAATGCCAATAGCCAATTTACAACCACATCAAAGGAGTTTAGGCACACTTGAGACCTTTGTTATAGAGCTGTGCCAGACTGCTAATCGAAACACAATCCACTTTGCTACTTCTGGACACTCAACTATACAATGAACTACTGTCAAAACCTGAAGTGCATAAAATATTCAAGACCAGCTTGATCACAGTAAGTTATAAGCTGACTATGGAAAGAGCTATATAATACAGCAATTTTTTCGGTTTGAAATAAAAAGCACAAGAACTATATTAAATCAACAGCATTAAGGAGGTGCCAACAATTTCCCGAATATTTACAAGTCTGTTAGTTTTTTTTTTTTTTTGGAAATAAAAGAGAGAAATTTTATTCACAAATGTATCAAGGGGATACCATTCGTATACAAAATAGTTACATATCTATCAAGTGGTCCATAACTAATCCAATGTCTTCCCAATCATGCACATCATGACCAAATAAAAAGATCCAAAAGTATGAAACCATCTATCTCTAATGTTTACAATATTAGTTTCAATGCCCTCAAACGCCCTCGCATTTCTTTCCTTCCACGCAACCCAAAAAATGGTAAGTGGTATAAGGAATCTATGTCTATTCTTTTTACAATATCCCGCCCAAGCCCAAAGTTCCCCACTTACATTACCAGCTCTAACCCAAAACAAACCCAGCAACCCAAAAACCATTGCCCAAATGCTGTTAATTACTGGACAGGCCAACAATAAATGATAACAAGATTCCTCATCAGCTTTACAAAAGTAGCATCTACTCACCATAATGTTTCCTTTCCTTTTTAACATGTCAATAGTCAAAATGCTATCTCTCACCGCCTCCCAAGCAAAAAACGCCACTCTAGAGGGCGCCTTAGCTTTCCAAATTAGCTCGAAAGGTGCAGTCATGTTCTGATCACCAACTCTTGAACAAACTGTAGAAAAATGACTTAACCGAAAAACCCCTATTAATATCCAACTTCCAAATTCTCTCATCATTTTTTCCAGTCAGTTTAATTTTGTCTAAACAGAGCAGAAGGTTGTTGTATTCCGCAATCTCCCAATCATGCAGATTCCTCAAAACTTTAACACACCATGTTTTATCACCATCCCCTCCACCAAAAAACTTCTCCACCTTCGCCTCCTTATCACTTGCAATCGCAAAAATTCTAGGAAATCTATCTTTTAATTTGAAATCACCCACCCGCTCATCATGCCAAAAGCTAACCTCCTCCCCCTTCCCCACCTTCCACCCCACACAGCTCATAATTCTTTTTCTGCCATCCCTCATCCTCCTCCAAAGACTCTTACCATGTGGTATATCAACAATGTTCCTAAAATCTTTCATCCTATATAAGTTATGGCTCAAAATGAAAGACCCAAAATAATGAAACAACATATCCTTACTTTTATATATCTCTCCTTCTATCCCCTTAAAAACCCTCTTGTTTCTGTTCCAAATCACCCAAAAAAGAGTTGATGGAATAAGTTTTACAATTTTTTCTTTTTACAAATCCCCTTCCGTGCCCAGATCTCATCTCTCAAGATCCTGCAATAACCCAATTAGTCCCTAACAAGCTATAGATCCTAGTCCAAAGATTATATGCCACTGGACACCAAAAATGAATATGATGGCATGACTCAGCAGCACTTTTGCAAAGATAATACCTATTCACCATGGTCCTCCCCCTTCTCATCAATTTGTCTATTATCAAAATACATTCTTTACCAGCCTGGGCTACATAATGCAACAATAAAACTTACTTTTCATGTTAACAAGCAAAAAAATGTCAGCCAGAAAAGTTCCCAATTTTTTTTTTTCTAAAACTATGATAATCCCTGCAATTTATTATTGCATCACTTTATATTATAACAAGTTCCTTAACTCAAAAGTGCTTACCTCAACCATACCACTTCTAATAGCAGATATTGAGACGTCAATGAGGAAAAAATATAGTGGCGGCATTGGAGGCCGCACCATATATTCTGTTGGAGCAATAAATTCCACACTACCCTTTGTAAGCTCAGGTCGCTGATCTAAATCCATTCTTCTGCCATTAGCATCCAAATGGGCAAAATAGTCTCCAGGAACTGAAAAGAAAGAATAAGTAATGAAACACCATGGTTTATAGACAACAAACCAAGCTCGTAAAGCACAGTTGCAATACAAAACATTTGGGAAAAAAAAATAAAGGCAACTTCAATCAACCATTTCAAATCAAAAAGCAACCTCACAGCTTAAATCAAACTATCCAATTGAAAAGCATCTGCTGAAGAAGACAGCATAACATGAACAGTTCGAACAAAAGATTACACATAAGAAAAGACTAAAACAAAGTGCAAATACCCACAGTACCATTTATTTGAACTGAATTTAAACAACTTTCTCCTGTCTACAGCTCTAAATGTCGCTTTTTAATGTAGCACTACTTATGTTTGCTTCTGTTTTGAGAACTTAAAAGTATGGATAGGCCAAGCAGATAAAGTGGCTGTAATATTTGAGCTGGTGCTTAAGAAAAAAGTCAGTAGATAAGTGCAAACAAAGATGCCATTTGCTTGCTTAGTATACAGATTTTTAACATTTATAGCCATAACTGGTGCTTTTTTTTTATAGTAATCTTATGGTTTAATAGCTAAGTCTGTTTTATATAAAAAAAAAGTTACCTAGATTCTTAAAATTGTTCAATAGAGAAGTGGAAAATTTTTGCTTTTTTTTTTCCCTGTTGAGTTGGTGCTTAAGCAGAAGCCAAATAGTTGTGTCCAGAGGCCCCAAAAAACTGAGCCAAACTCACTGAATGAGCGAATAGGTTCCAATAGAGATAAGAAATTTAAATAACCATCATGACTATCAGAGATATGATTTAGCCGTTTCTCTAGTTTGGTCACACAAATTTATAATAGCAATATCTTCCAAGTAACAAGGAATTTTCTAATCAAGGAGAATTAGGAAGCTCAAACACATGCACAGGCATGCAAACACACAAAAAAGAATGGACAGGAGAAAATTATATGTATAAGGTTGCAGGAAATGAACAAGAGATATAAGCTTCAACTTCTCAACAGCAGATCTCAGAACAACCAAAAATCTATATCGTTTGAATAGCATATCATCTTTTTTTCATCGAAAGAAGAAAATACCATCATTTAATAAAGAACAGATGTTGCAACGCCACTTTCTTCCAGAGTCTGTAAAAGTCACATAAGGGTTCACGTATGTACGACACCTTCTACAACGGATAATCCCAGTGGAAGCAAAATTAAGAACTGGGACTTCATCCTGAATAAAGAACAGCAGTTTTTAAAATATATATATATTTATAATAAGATATCACAAAGGAACTGCTCCTATAGGCAAACACTTACCCCTTCTGGATCTTCAGCAAGAGGACAAACAACTGCTCCTAGAGGCAAGTGCCACCTTGAGATCAATGACTGAGAATTTGGTATAGCAGCAGTAGTAAGGCGTAGAAACCTGGAATCGCAATTCATAGGGTACATCTGAGCAAATGATTTTGGCTCCACATCACCATCTAATGGCCTTGGTAGTGCCTTAGGATCAAGTGCCGGTTCCATTGATCCAGGAATGGATCCAACAGAGAGTGAACTGAAATCTTCTGCCAAGCTCTGGATGCTGTTGACAGGAGGTGCGTAGGCAGCATGTTGCATAGCAGGTGAAACAAAGCCTCCTTGGGGCGGAGGAAAGGGGGAAGATGTTGGTGGAGGAGGTACATAATTTCCTTGTACGGCAAGGACAGGGGACTGCATTGGAGCTTGTGATGGCAAATTAGACTGCTTGCTTGGGTATCCAGGCAATGGTGGAGATCCCATTGGCACAGGAGTTACTTGTTGCTGTGGATGGAAAGAAACATGCGGAGCTGACAGTTGACTTGCAGAAGATTGAATTGATGGTGGACCAACAGGTGGTCCACGTATTGGAGGCGCTTGAGCTGTTGATGGAAATTGTGGTGTTGGAAAATGTTGAAAAGTACCAGCAGCAGGTGGTGCATATATTGTTGGAGGAGAAGGCACAGACGGATCATTGAACCTGGCAGGTGGGGCAGGTCTAAAACCAGAGGACACAGGTCCAACTGGAGCTGCCGGAACAAAAGACATTGCAGTTTGAGGAGCAGCTGGTGGTGCAGGTCTAAAACCAGTAGCATCCGATCCAACCATGGGGCCATAAGATGAAAATGGCGTCCTTGGCGGAGGAGCAGAGGCAAAAGGAGTTGCAGAAGGTCTTGTAGGAAAGTACGGACGAGTAGAATCTTCAGTTCCCATTTTTGTTTCAATAAAAAGTACTCCAATTGCTAACTACAGGTAAACTCCCATGACTTCAACCTGCCAATCAACAAAGTTATAATGGTTCAGAAAGAAAACTAACACTAAATAGGTAAAAATAATAATAATAATAATAATAATAATAACCACACTTTAAATGAGAAGGAAATAAAACAGGAATAGCACGGGTGGATCTGAAAAATGCAAAAAACAACATATACATCATGCTTATCAACAAAATACCAAGAGCATAAGGACATAGTTGCTTTGATAGCCAACAAGAAAAGGAACGGTTATGTGTCACCAAAAACAAGATGATGTTTCACACAGTATCACGATGATATGACCAAAATCTGTTATTAGTTGAAAAGGATTATTGACGTTGAATGAAGAGCTTAAGTTTTAAGTAACAATGGTTTGCCACTTCGTGGCAGGATGGTTGCCCCTCCTCACCAGACGCCATCAAGAACGGGCAGTAGGCTTGCAATGATAGACCTGTGGCACAGAAAGCTTAAGCTCTTCATCAAAGCCCAAAATCATTTTCAACTTATCTCATATTTTGCCCGTATCACAGAATCCCCAAAAGATCATCAAACCTATTTACAAAAAAAAAAAAAAAAAAAAAAAAAAAAAAAAAAGAGGCCAAATTTGCTGAATTTAACATGAAAGACTAGAAAATCTCAGCTACAGTTGGAGCCAGGATCGTGCAAGTGAAGTGAGGTTAAGCAAGCAGAGTTAGGAAGGCAGAGAAAACATATTCACCAAAGAAATCATAATTCAACATTGATTCAGAAAAGATCGCATCAAAAGAGATAAATTTGAAAATTCATTAAAAATCTCGGACACGAAAGCATTACCTGCAAACTGAATCTGGAGGAGGAGTGGCATAGATCTAAGAACCGTAAAGAGAAAAAACGGAAGAGAAAAGTGAGAAATTCAGTGTATTTAAAGCGACTAGGGTTATCGATCGGGCGAAGAGAATGAGAAGAACGGGTGTGAGCTGTGAAAATTTGCTTCAAAACATTTCCAAGTCGTGGTTGCGAGAGAACAAAACAGAGACTGCGACAAGGGCCTTCTCTTGCGAGAGAACTAACACTTATTTAGCAAAATATTAATTAATTCTAAAGGAAAAAAGTTTTTTTAATTATAAATTATTTTTTGTTTACTTTACTTTTATATAAATTAAATAATTAATTATAAGAAAATCATCAATAATAATTATTAGTATTCAGATGTTATGTAATAAAAGTAAAATAGTATATAATTCTTTAAATAAAAAAAAAATTAAGCTTTTTCATTTTCTCTTTTTTTTTTCCTGAAAATTATTGAATTTTTACCTAAATAAAGTAAATTTTCTACTTTTATTTTTTGTTTGTATTCTACTTTTCATTTAATATCGAATGACATTTAAATTTTAATGTCTTAATAAACAGACAAAAAAACACAATGAATAATTTTGTTTTAACTAAAAAAATATTTAGATATAACCTTTTACTTTTATTAAAAACATTTTACTTTAAAATATCCATCGAATAAATTTTTATTCTTTAACTATTCTTACTAAAAAATTTTAAATTATTTATGAAAAGAAGTTGGAACCTCTCAAAACTATCTAAAAATTTTAAGATCAAATTAGCAAAGAAAAAAAAATACTCAATTTGTGTACGTGAATTGATTTTATTTATAAAAAAAATTAAAAAAGTAAATTTCCTTTGTATTTATTTTGTGTATCAACTTACAAATCTAACAT